GCATTGCCCTTCTCAAAGCTGTCTTTGCTCTTGCTCGAGCAAAGGGGTCGGAATGCACTTCTTTTCTTTTAGCAGCGAAGGCAAGCGCAGGCAATCCCCTGAACTTCTTATTAATAAGATAAAAGGTGCGGCCAAGCCGGTACCGTCCTAGCCATTTCGACATCTATTCGTTACACTTCGTAGCCACGGGATGCTTAAAAGACCCGAGCGAATTCAACCAGCGAAGGAGGAGGCTCCTGCTGCTCGCCAGGTCCGCCTCGTTCCGGTTTTAGGAATATGGAGGAACGATCCATCGTCCCGATCTTCATTCTTGTTAGGACAGTCAGCCATATGTCTGCTCCACTTGTTGGACCCTCGCCTCTCAATGCTCAGATCTCTATTCCCTAAGGCTCTAGCGAAATTCTCTTCTATGGCTGTGGTTACTTAGTCACAAACCGCAGTGAATCCATCTTTTGTAGATTCCCCTTTCGAACCCCCCAAACAGAGGTTTTCCATGAGGATTTGATAGCGATTGTATGGACGTAGAAAGGAGTGACAAACTCAGATTGAAGCAACGAAAGTCTCACGCACTGGTGCAAGGAGAGAGAAAGCCGATGGTTTAATGAAACATAGCTGACCATGGTCAAAACTCTTTCTGTGTGGCAATTTTCAAAGAACTTAATAGAAGTAGAAGAGCCCATTTTTCACCCTACGTTGAGCTTGAGCCTCATTTGCAGCAAGCTTTTGCGCACCGTTCTATGGGGAAACTCTCTCCATTAATGATGGAACGTCGCCGCTTCGCTCCTGATAACCCCAGGGAATTTCCTGTTGTCACCCCGGTTCATTTTGAATTGATGAAATAGCATTCTTATGAAAGCCTTTTGGAGATGATCAAGATTGAGATTTTCATGAATATTAGTGCTACCCTGCTCGTCAAAACAACAGCCATTCGTACTTTGATGCAACCAACACAAAGGTTATATGAACAGCGGGCAAGAATGGATAGTCGCCAATCGTGGATGGAACGTAGTAGGAAATAGCTCATCAGAAGAAAGGCATCGGTCAACGCTAGAGGTATTTGAAGGGAGTAGCCACCAGTACAAGAAATATGACTTTATGGGGGCTTGTTGAGTCAAAAGTGGACTTTCTGCTGGAAGATATGAGGTTGAGGGGCAAAGTCAAGCAAGAAGACAAAGGAAGTGGAATGTCCAGAGAAGGGCATTTGAATCATTGAGAAGCGGATAAACTCAGTTGCCAGAAGATGGCTCTTTTTCCATTGCAACGACGAAGCTTGAGAGGCAGATGATCCCGAAGCGTGAACCAGATTCAGAGAAAAATTCCATACCTATATTAGCAGGCGAGTCCGATACTAAGAAGCTTGAATAAGATTCTACAACACTCCCTTACTGGTCTTCGATAAGTCGATGAACCAGATGAAGCAATCCATTTCATAGTCAAATGCAGCAGATGTAGCTACATGTTGCAGCGGATTCGGCTACATATTGAAATAGCAGCTCAAGCGTAGCGATAAAGTGAGTCAGATACGCCAACATTTGGGTAAGATTCCCCGAGAAAGTTCATGGTCGATGAAGCAAGATTTCCCGAACAATGCCTGCCTAGAATCTAGATTTAGCTATTTAGCTGAGCGTCGTAGACTTGGAAGTGCCAAACCATTCAACATTTCACTTCTCAGAAAGAGTCCCCTTTTCAGGTTTCGTAGAAAGACTCTCCGGTTAGTAGCTTCGCTATAGCGGTGTCTTCCCGTCATTTGTTTACTTAATAGAATCTGACCCTCCCTCGCTAGCGCCAAATAGGTGTATGTTGCTAAGGCATTTCTTTCTGTAGATAGCGTCTTCCGCATTCCCCTACCTTTTGATTGACCTCGCGAAGAAGTATTGATATGGAAATAAAGGCATGGGAGGAGTGTGTCGATACCTAAAGCCTCAGGGAGAATGGACTTCTTCCTCTTCTTCAGGATGCTTAGAGTCCTATCCTGCCGCTTCTGCCCTGATTGAAAGAAGGGCGAGGTCACTATGTGAACAAGAACGATTAAACAATAGCGTAAGTATACAAGTACACAGCTTGCTCCTTAGATCCTGATTCACTACTTCTCATTCAAGGGAAGGTTTCGAAGTTATACTCTACACAATGAAAAGAAAGACAAATTATATTAGATGAAAAAACTGTTGATTCTTCACCAGGTATTCCACCTTCTGCCTATGTTATTAGAAGCCTGTGCTTGCTCTCGCTTCGCCTCAAGCACGACCGATTGACTCGCACTATCTGATTCATGGTCCGGCTTTGCTTGTCTGGCAGTGAACTCCATTCCCTTCTGTAATGGGAAGGAAAAAGAGGTAGCCAACTAGCTCACGGGATTGGTTGTAGTGATAGTCAGAATCTGTGCTTGGCTGGTCTGTGGTGAGGCTTACTCATCCCTTCACTTCTTCAGTTCAGCCTTAAACTGACACTTGTCCAAGTTCCGCCCCAGTAGCCCTTGGATTAAGAAGCGACGCCCGTACCT